AACATAAGGATGACGTTGGTTTTGATGTTGATGTTGTCAATTATCAGGGTACTAAAGATGATGCAGTTGGTGAGGTCGGCGATGGTAATGGTGATATTTCTGATGATGACGATGATGTTGATGATGGTCATGATGATGATGCGGATGATGAGGAGGAGGAGGAGGAGGACGCTGACCATGGTGATGGTAGTGGGGATATTGATGGCGACGCTTATTCTGAAGATGATAATGAGAAAGAGGTAGGCCATCAACGCTGCGTCTTCCGTCTCCACACCTTGTGGAGCTCACAAAGGGGCCGTCCTGTGTCTGTTAGTGCTTCTGTGAGGAGGGAGGAAGAGAATGGAGGAGGGAGGACGAGGGAGGAGGGAGGAATGAGGAGGCAAGAGGTAGGGGGGAGGAGGGAGAAGGGAGGAGGGAGAAAGGAGGAGGGAGAAAGGAGGAGGGGAGGAGGGGAGGGAGGGAGGTATGAGGGAGGAGGGAGAGGTTTAAGGCGGAGGAGGGGGAGGAGGAGCGAGAGGAAAGAGCATGAGGAGGGAGGCGGAGGAGGAGAAGGAGGAGGAGGAGGAGGAGGAGGTAGTGGAGGGCGCCCTCTTGGATCGTTTTGGGGTCGTCTTCGGAGCCTCTTGAGCCGTCTTGCCGCGGTCTCGGGGGCCTCTGGGACCGTTGGAAGCGAAGCCCCCCCGCCCCCGAGCCGAGCACTGCATGGCGCCGGGAATGGCGTCCCACCCCCCCTGCAGAGCGAACCCTCCCCCCCTCGGCTCCCGAGCACTGAATGGCGTCGGGAGGGCCCCCCCTTGCAGAGCGAACTCGCTCCCGAGCACTCGTCCACCACCCCCCTTGCAGAGCAAACCCTCCCTCCCCTCGGCTCCCGAGCACTGAATGGCGTCGGGAATGGCGTCCCCCCCCCCCCCCTTGCAGAGCGATTCCCCTTCGGCTCCAGAGCACTGAATGGTGTCGGAAATCCCCCACTCTTTGCAGAGCGAACCGCCCCCCGGCTCCCGAGCACTCGTCCACCCCCCCCCCCTTGCAGAGCGAACCCTCCCCCCGCCCTGCTCCCGAGCACTGAATGGAGTTGGGAATGGCGTCTCCCCCCCCCCTGCAAAGCGACCCCCCCCCGGCTCCCGAGCACTGAATGGCGTCGGGAGTGGCGTCCCCCCCTTCCCCTTGCAGAGCGAAGCTTCAGCGAGCTAAAGTCCACGCTCTTAGAAACTCACACGCCGGATCGGCGGGTTCGCCAGGATTGCTCACAGCAGGCAGTCCGAACACCGCACGCCCCGTGCGCGCGCGGATGGGTGACAAGAACATTGCTTTGAGGTGCGGCACCACCGTGCCCCCACGTGGTAATAATAGCGGCGGTTGCGGGCCTGATGGTTCAGCATCCGCAGGCCACGGGCCGCAAAAGGCAAAAGGGCTTCAGGGGAGGTTTGCAGGGCTCTGCGCGAGGTCGACCCAGAACAGGCGAAGCGCTGCGAGTTGTGGCTTTTCCAGCCCAGCGGGTCCGCAGCTAGCAGGCCACAGCAGGAATCGAGGCTCCCAGCGAAGCGTCGACAACACCGATTCTTCACTATCAGCTGGCAAATGGATTGGCTCTGCGACGGAGCGCAACCCAGACCCCATCTCCTCCCGATCCTCCTCCTGCTTGTCCTCCTCCCATCCCGCTCTTCTCCCCACCTCCCCCCCGTCTTCCCCACCTTGCCCCTTCCCATTCCCCTCCCCCTCCTCCCCGTCCTCTTCTTCTTCCTCCTCCTCCTCCTCCTCCTCCTCCTCCGCCTCCTCCTCCTCCTCCCCCTCCTCCTCCGCCTCCTCCTCCTCCTCGTGCTCCTCCTCCTCCTCTTCTTCTCCCTTTCGTCCTGCTCCTCCTCCTCCTCATCCTCCTCCTCCTCGTTCCCCTCCTCCTCCGTCTCCTCCTCCTGTCCCGTTTTCTCCTCCCATATTCCCCCCCCCGACAGCGGCAGAGAGAGGGAGAGAGAGAAAGAGCGGCGCGCACGCGTGCGCGCCCCTTCCCCGGCAGGCGGCTCCTCCGAGGCCGCGGCGGACGGCTCCCAAGAGGCCGACAGCGCGGCTGCCGGCTCGCACGAGGGGCGCCCCCCCCCCCCCCCCCCTCGACGAGGACGACGACGAGGCCGATGACGAGGCCGACGACGACGACGACGACGACGACGACGACGACGACGACGACGACGGCGGCGACGGCGGCGGCGGCGGCGGGGGCCACGGGGGACCCCCCTGTCCTCCTCCTCCTCCTCCTCCTCCTCCTCCTCCTTTTCCTCCCCTCCTCTTTCTCCTCTCCTTCTCCTTCTCCCCCTTCTACTCCCTTCTTCCCTTCCTCCAGAGCCTGCGCCCGCTCATCATCGGCACACCCACTGCTGCAGTGCGGCGCCAACGCCCCCTGTCGGCCGCGGCCAGCCAAGCTTTTGCCTCCCCGTTTGCCCCCGATGGGTGGCCCTTCCCTTCGGGACCCGCCCTTCAAGACTGGGGAAGCCTGAAGATCTGTCAGAGGCGCCGTCGGCACACCGACTGCTGATGCCCATTGGCGACGACGTCGACCTCTCAGACCTCGAAGTCGTCGTCGTCGTCGTCGTCGTCGTCGTCGTCGTCGTCGTCGTCGTCGTCGTCGTCGTGGACGTCGTGGACGTCGTGGACGTCGCGTCCGACGTCGTGTCCGACGTCGACGTCGTCGTCGCTGACCTCGTCGACGTCGCCGCTGGCATCGACGTCGAGGTCGTCGACGGCGCGGTGTCCGACGTCGTCAACGCCTTCGGCGTACGGCGGCGGCGACGTCGCCGACGAGGCGCCGCCGCGCCGACACTCGCGGCCTTCAGGTGCCCGCCGTGCCCCTACGGGCCCGCCGGGGCAGCGACCGCGGGCGCGACCACGCCCTGCCCGCCGGAGCAGCAGCACAGCAAGTGCGGCGCCCGGCCGTCTAGCCGCCCTCGCGCGCGCGCGCGCCTCGACGTTGGCGGCGCCGCAAGCGTCGTCGACGGAAGACGATGTCGACGGCGTCGCCACGACGGCGTCACACCGACGACGTCGACGGCGTCGCCGAGGGAAGTCAGGGACGTCGGGGACGTCACGTCAGGGTGGTCGGGTTCGCGAGTGTCGTCATCGTCAGGGTGAAGGGCGGGGAGGCGGATGGGGGGCGCGGGGGGGCGGGGGGTGGGGGTAGGAGAGGAGGAGGGAGGGAACAGGGGTGGAAAGCAGGTGGAGGAGGAGGAGGAGGAGAGAAGGAGGAGGAGAGAAGGAGGTGTACGGGGGGGGGGGCAGGAGGAGGAGGAGGAGGAGGAGAAAGGGAGGAGAGCAAGAGAAGCAAAAGGATCATAGCAGGAGCCCAGTTTGGGTCAGAAAGAAAGGAGCAGGATGATAACGTTTGGAGGAGGAGGAGGGACATTAAAATCAGAACAGGGAGGGAAAGGAGGAAGGGGACACGGGAAAGGGGAGGAGGAGGAGGAGGACTTGGAGGAGGAGGAAGCGGATGAGGAGAGGGAAAGTGGGGGGACGCGGATGACGGGAAAGGGGGGAAGTCCGAGGTTGAGAAGTAGAGCGTGGAAGAGTGATGATGAGGGATGATGATGATGGTGATGTTGACGGTGTTGTTACGGATGGTGTTGATGATGATGATGCTGATGATGATGATGATGATGATGATGATGATGATGATGATGATGGTGGTGGTGGTGGTGATGATGATGGGTGACCATCAAAACATCATGATGCTGCTGGTGGTGGTGTTGCTGATGCTGGTGATGATTGTGATAATTTTTGTGATGATGCTGACGATGTTGATGGTGTTGATGTTGTTGATGATGATGATGATGACGATAATGACGATGCTGCTGATGATGGTGACGATGATGATGATTACGATTATGATGAGGATGAGGATGATGATGATGATGATGATGATGATGATGATGATGATGATGATGATGATGATGATGATGATGATGATGATGATGATGATGATGATGATGGTGATGATGATGACGATGAAGATGAAGATGTGTTCGAATGTGATGATGCTACGGTGGGGGGCGTTGGTTGATGCCGAATGCTGTCGCCCAGGCAGGTGCCATTTCGTTCCCATTGATTATGTTACATGTCGATTCCGGCTGGCCCGAGCCGAGTCGGTTCCGATAATCGGACGGTCCGCTGCGGCCCGATGCTTGCGCGGCGCTGTCGTGCATCCTGCCGCAGCCGATCCGAATCGATTTCGATTCCGGGCCGAGGCAGCCCGATCCGATGCACCTTTGCCATCGCAGCGGAGCTCACTGGCAAGACGGGACATCGACAAACGACGACGACGACGACGACGACGACGACGACGACGACGACGACGACGACGACGACGACGGCGGCGGAGTGATGGCGCCCGCGCGGCCCCGCGCCAACTCATTCTGGCCGGCCAGGCCAGGCCACCAGCCGCGCCCAGCCGAATCGCTTCGATCCGATTTGCTGGATCGCTGCTGACTGATCCCGCCCAGGCCATTCTTCAAGCAGTGGCGCAGCGCCCTTGCTTGTCTATAGGCCCACGCAAGAATGTTCGAAGAACATTTCCTTTGGTTGGAACGTTTGAGGCTGAGACCGTCTTGCTTTAGCCCATCGGGTTTAGGTTATGAGAACATTGCTTCTGTCCTTGGAGCACTTGTTGGTTCTAAGAACATTTCGTCGCCTTCACCGGCATTGGCGCGCAAGTTGCCCGCGTAAGGTCGGGCGGAATTCGCCCCGTTGTTCCAATCTCGTGTGCCGCGGGGGCGGCCCACCGCTCAAGGCCGCTATGTCATTTCGCAGAGGGTCCGTCTCTTGTCGTCGGTGGAGAGCAGGGGCCCTGCGTGTCTTTCCTCTCCACCGCCGCCTCGTCGTTTGTGCTCGTATTATCGCCGTCGCCGTCCTCTGAATCGTGTGGGCCTGCGCGGGGGGAATTATCTGAACAGTCGTCGTGTGCGGACTGCTCTACACAGTCACGACGCTGACAGAAGGACCGGTTTGGGTCGAGAATGGGGCTCGCTGTCCTTCGGGTTATTCCGTGGTTGTTCCTCGAGCCCTTCTTGTGCACCCAGATTTTTTTTGGTGGTGCCCAAAGGGGGCTTCGTTCCCTATGGTGCGTTCCTTATTCCGGGGGAGAGTCGCTCCCGATCCCCCCCGCCCGTCCCGATCCCCAGCGACGTTCGACATATGTCGCCGAAGTGGACCGCCCTGAGCCTACTGATGAGCTGCGGGCGAACCTTGCAATCGATCCACGCTGCTCTGCTCTCTGGGTGCCGATCAGCATGATGACGTCGGCATTCTCGAACTCTTCCACTGGCCCCACCTTGTGGCGCTCGGCACGGGGCGGCTCGGGGCTTTTCTTGGCACCGCCCGGACGTGTGCCTTTTTTTTCTCGGCGAGGGCCATCGAGGAGCAGACTGGCTTACCAAAAGGAAAAAGGAGGCGCGCAACATCGACAAATGCACTGCCGGCGGGGGGTGGACGTCCGAGCGATGGCGAGTCTTTCACGTTCGACTCTGCGCTGGGTCCCGATTCCCTCCCCCCTTCTCGTCCCCGGCCTCTCTCGCCGGCGGCCCCCCCCCGCGCCGACGGACCCCTCGTCGTCATCGTCGTCTTCGTCTTCGTCGTCGACAGCCCCCTCGTCGTCGTCGTCGTCGTCGTCGTCGTTGTCGTCGTCAACTTCGTCGTCCTCGTCGTCGTCGTCGTCGTCGGCGTCGTCTTCGTCGTCCTCGTAGCCGTCGTCGTTGCCCCCTCGCGCGCCGACGGCCGCCGAGCCCCGTCGCGGCCCAGGTCCCGCGGCGCCCGCGCCGCGGCGGCCTCGGCCGCCGCCCTGCTGCTGGCGCTGCTGCCCGCGGCGCTCTCTGGCGGCAGCTGGGCGTGAGGGCCCCCGCCTGCCGGGGCCGCCCTCCCTCCTCCTCCTCCTCCTCCTCTCCTCCTCCTCCTCTCCTCCTCCTCCTCCTCCTCCTCCTCCTCCTCCTCCTCCTCCTCCTCCTCCTCGTCGTTTTTTTCTTTTTCGCCCTCCTTCGACTTCTCGTCTTCCTCCTTCTTCTATCGCCTTTCTTGTTCGTTTCATCTTCTCTTGCCTCTTTCCCTTCCGGACCCTCCTCTTTCCCTCCTGGCCCCCCGAGGATGGAGAACTTACGCGTACGCCAGGTTCAGGTCGTGCTGGCGGGGCGACGACCCCAGCGCGGGCGTTCCAGGTGGAACGCCGCCAGAGTCCTGGCATCGGCTGGTATCGAGCGATCGGCGCGGTCGGAACGCCGCGATCCACGACCCACGCGGAGTCAGAAACCAACGCCCACGTCCTCAGAGGCGATTCGAGAACGTCTGAGGTTCGAGGAGTTTTCGTCGACGCTTTCAGTGTCCAGAGGCCCGTTTCGGGCTCCGCTTCCTCCACCTCTCTTCTCTTTTGCCACTCTCTCTTCCGGGCCCTCCCCCTCCCCCTCCGCGGGCAGTGAGCTATTACCTCCTTCTGCCTTCCTCCTTCTGATCCTCGGAGGAGGCTCGAAGAGGTTCGAGGTTCGAGTATGTTCGGTTTCGCCGTTTTCGGCATCTGGAGGACTTTTTGTTTCGAGCCCCTCTGAGTTCCTTGGAGGATCGGTCGGACGAGAGGATGGCCCACAAAGTGGGGGTTCTGAGCCACTCTCCTCGTCCTCGTGCTCGTCCTCTGTCCTTCTTGTCCTTGTCCTCATGCTCGTCCTCCTTCTTCTCATCGTTATGATCACCCCTCCTCGTCCCCGCGCTCGTCCTCCTCCTCCTTCGTCTTCTTCCATGTCGTCGTCGTCTTTTTCCTCCTCTTCCTCCTCCTTCCCCTGCTCCTTCTCTCCTCCTCCTCCTCCTCATCCTCCTCCCCCTCTCCCACCTCTTACCTCGCTCGCTTTCTTGTTTCTTGCCTCTTTCTCTTCCTGGCCTTTCCCCTCTTCCCATCGTGAGCAGTGCACTCCCCGCCTTCTTTCGCCTTCTCCCCGCGGCTTGTGCGCGCGGGATCATCCGCAACTCCGGACGGGATCCCCGCAAGTCCGAGCCCTGGCGTGCGCGCGAGAGAATGGACAAAAAGGGCAGGCGCCCCAGACGATATTTGGCCTCCGCCCGCCTCTTCCTTCTTTTCCTTCGTTTTTCTTGTTTAGGTTCCTCCTTCTTTTCTTTTGTCGTTCGTATGTTTACTGCTAGTGTTTGCGCGAATCTTTTTTTCTTGTTTGGATTATTATTCAGATTATCATTGATATTATTTGTAGATGTGTTGTTGCTATTACCGTAATGCTAACTATCATTACTGATATTACCCTTAGTATTACCATTACTCTTCTATCATTCGTATTATTATTATTATGATCATTCTTAGTATGCTCATTCTTCTTCTTATTATGATTAACCTTATTTTTATTGTTTGTTCTCTTCTTCTCGCTGCTCGGGCCGCTGCGGCCCGTGCAGTTGTGGAGGCCAGCGGCGGCGAGGCTCGCAGGGGCGTTCTCGCTTGGGCGCCCCGGCACATCGGCCGCCGGCCCGAAGCGCAGG